TGGCCTCAGCCGTAACCGGGAATCAGGAGTCAGCCACAGAGAACCCACAAAACGGAGCCCTTCTAAGAGGAGCAGCCGCATAACCCGAAGCTCCAGTGGGAGGAGGAGGACAGGGGAGTGGGGCACAAGACAGCAGGCACAGGCAGTGGGCACCGCCACAGAAGCCACTGTGCAGATCCTCAGATGCATGCCCAAGGCAGCTTCTTGGCCTGACTTTGAAAAGGCTGTGTTGGGGCCTCTGGGCTGTCCAGCGCACCCCAGCCTCTCCCTATGCTGGCCTCCTCCGGGGCAGTGCCTCCTCATCCAGTATGGTCTAGGCAAAGGGACCCTCCTGGACTGGCTCCCCCAGGAAGCCTAGGTCTGAGCTCTGCAGAACTGCCTCTGGAGCCAGACTGGAGAGTACAGAGGCAAGCCAAGGCTGCTCCACCTGGTCTGCCAACCTGCCAACCCACAAGTGGCCATCCTGTGGGCAAGATGCAGCTTCCTGGCCCCAGGGCTTAGCCTTCCACTGGCGCTGCCCAGCACATTTTCTGGCTGCCCAGGAAGACCAGAGTAGATTTTTACTACTTGTGACCAAGAATCCTGGCTGACCCAGATATGTGGTTCCTACAAACCTGCAGTGTCTTGCAGGGCCCCGTGAAGGGAGGGCCTGCAGATGGTGAGGTCCATAACAGACGGAGATTCATGGCCAGAGAGCCTCAGGACGGAGCCTGGATATTAATCCCTTAGCAGATACCTGATGTGCAAGTATTTTCTCCCATTCTGTGGGTTAACTTTTCACTCATTTGATCATGCCATTTGATGTACAAATGTTCCTAATTTTTAAGAGGTCCAATTTATCTATTTTTTTCTTTTGTTGCCTATATCTTTAGTGTCCTATCCCTGGTCATTGCTACATCCAATACCATGAGGATTTTCTCCATTATTTTCTTCTGAGAATTTTGTAGCTTTAGCTCTTAAGTTTAGATCTTTGATCCATTTGAGTTAATTTTTGCATATGATATTAGGTAAAGGTTCAACATCATTCTTTTGCATGTGGATATCCAGTTTTTCCAGCACCACTTGAAGAGACTGTGCTTTCCCTAGTGAATGGTCTTGGCACTGTTGCTGAAAATAATTTGACCAGAAATGCAAGTGTTTATTTTGGGGCTCTCTATTCTATTTCACTGGCCTATATGGTATCATTTTGCCAATACTATGCTGTTTGAGTCACTGTAGCTTTGTAATATGTTTCCAAGTTGGGAAGCATAGGTCCTCCAACTTTGTTGTTTTTCAAGATTGTTTTAGCTCTTTGGGACCCCTTGCAATTCCATATGAATTTGAGGATCAGTTTTTTAATTCCATATGAATGTGAGGATCACTTTTTAAAATTATATATTTTTTAAAAAGACTATTGCAACCCATAGAGATTGTGTTGAATACTGCTTTGGGTAGTATTGACATTTTAACAATGTTAAGGCTTCCTATCCGTGAACATGGGCTATCTTTTCATTTATTTAGATCTTTAATTTCTTTCAGCAACCTTTT